TTCAACCACCAAGTCTTACGTTGCCTTGTCCGATTGAAGCTGAATGGAGAAATGCAATTATGACACGAAAGAGCTGATGGGGTGCGTCGTTGCGTGAGTTGGCGTTTTCTTTGTCCACCATTTGACCATTTGAGCCGACTCATCGCTTTCCCATTAAACTCACCAAAGTTCCCGACAAATGAGTCGGTTTGTGCCGTCTCCAGCAAACAGATGAAGCCTCTTTCGAATGTGGACATTTTGCCAAAGTAAATGATACATTGAATGAAAGCGATTACAATCGACTGACCACAAAATCGGCATTTTCCTCCCGGAAAAGTTTTGACAGTTGATGTTGGTGGTCCGCCCAACGACAGATTGTTGAGTATTCTCTGTTTCCCGCGCAATCTTGATGTGCTCGGTCTCCTAACACCGGCTTGGATGGGTCGTAGAAAACGAAGTCTAGCAGAAAGTCAGACAAGGCAAGATTCGTCTTGCGAGACAGACATCATCAAACCAAATAGGAACATGCACTCTCCGAGTCGAGGCTTGCCGCTCGGACGGCAACGATGCCGGAGGCTGTTGCCTTGGCGATGGCGTATTTTTTGTCCTCCTTCCGTCCTCACAAGTCGAAACCGACGCGCAACTACGCCGACCTTCGTGGAAGCTGCCTAGGCCCTGAAGGGGGTTGGAGAATTCAGCCGAGATTGGTCGGCAAAGTAGAAGGTTGCCTACACGACAAAGTGAGTTGCCGACAGAGAAATCGACGCAGACAGAAGCAAGAGAGAGCAGACAAGTGGACAGGATAGTGTCAATTTGTGCTGGTCTGATGGCACGAGGAGACCGTCGCCATGGTGTGAGACAATGGCGGTAATGGCGGATGTGGTACCGGCCGCAGAGACGGACGGACGACGTGGCTCGACGCTGAATCTGGTCGTCACGTGCTGTCGCGACACTCAACATGCATGTGAACACGTGCATGTGTGCAGACATGTAAATGTGAACGAAGCAGGGTGGGGGGGAAGTGGGCAAAGATTTACAGACTGAAAATGGCCCCGGGCCTTCTGGAGAGG